CTCCACGGGTACTCTCAACCCTACCCTTTGTCGGAGCAGCTCTTGCACCGACTGTCAGTGCCGCTGGACCCGGCGGTGGTATTCTGCCTGCAGCAGCAATGGCAACGTTTCTTAACTGGGGAGGGAAACCCATGTAAACCCCACGACCTTTGATCCTCCCTGCTTTGACCTTTGTTCCTCGGGACTGATCGATTCACGCGAAGCCAACTTTCATCGCATTTGTGTGGTTGCCTGTCTGTGCTGTTTGTCCGCCGCCACAACGATAAAGTCAGAGAGGGAGGGGCAAGATAGGTGTTACGTTGTTACCATTCAAAACTCTATAGCTGTTAGCTTTACCTCTTCTTGACCTATTCTTGTGAGTCTCATTGTTCTGTTACAACGAAACCTAATGAGACACTTAGACTTTCGAAGTCCATGAATTTGTAAAGTTATATTAACACTAGCGCTTCATTTTCCGCACGTAATGGCTCTTAGTTGAGTGAGTTGTATACATTTTTTCGCTGACTTTCAATGACCTTGCAAATTAAATGACATTTTGTAGAAAAGGTGCACCAGGTATTTTTTTATTGTACTAATTTAAGAGCAACTTACGTCTTAGGTTTTAGACCTGCCGAAAAGTATATTTCTACTTTACGAAAACCGTACAAATTCCTGGATAATTTAAATCCCAATCTATCGTCACAACCGCACTCAGAGTGTCCAGACTGCAAGCTGTACGTTTTCCGCATAAGAAAAACTGTTACATTTATGTACACTATTACGAAAACGTAATATAGTACTCTTAAACTTTTGCATTGGTTGTGAACTATACTGCATGCTTTATAAGCAGCATTTATAACCGGGTACACACGAGGCTTTATGCATGAACATTGTGGGATATTGAAAAATCTCATAGGAAGTTTTTTTAAATCGCAAGATGCCCCTTCTTCAAGTACGACATTTTAAAGAAGGCGTACTTTCCCACCAAGCGAGCATGTAAAGGAATATCGTTTCCAGCATCCCCCAAGAAAGACGAAGAAAAAGGGACCAGTTAATGGACCGAAGTGCATTTAGGCTGACGCTTCGGAAACATTCTTCGTTCCACCAGCAGAGTAATATACTGGTTCTTCCTGCTGACCGTGACTGTTTCAGGCTTGATGCCTGTTTGGTATTATATCCGTGCTTGAGGAATCAACAATAATCTGCAGCGAACAGGCAGTTCAAAGTTCGTGCGTCAGACAGACAGGCATCAAGGTTGAAACAGTCACGGCCAGCAGGAAGAACCGAGGGTGGAACCGAAGATGTTTCCGAAATGTCAGTCTAAATAGGATTGGCTCTTTGAACTCGTTCTCCTCCTCCTC